TATTTATAAATCTATTTATACATTACTGATTTTTATTTATTTATCTTTTTACTTTACTTATTTTATTTATATATTACACTATTGACTGAGAAAGCTTAATCGGAAACCAAAATTATAATTGTGATGATACAACATTAAAATCAATATTTAAGGGGGCATGACCTCCTATTGGTGCAGGTTTACCCTATTTTTTATCCTCTTCTGAACTATAGAAAAATGTAGGTGTCTTCCTATTTTTATCAAAAAAATCTCTAAAAATGGAATATTTATTAAAAAGTCAATTGAAAGAAAACTTTTTCTACCTATGAATGAACAACTTACTAAATATGTTTCTATTGCCTGAATAGATGTTATCGATATTTAATATTAGAATTTTTATTTTAAAATAGTAATCTTTTAGTTGTGTAACTTGTTAGTTTGAAAATCTTTCAAATTTTTTATTTTGAAATGTTGACAACTATACCTTACCACTTAACTTCTTTGTGGATAATTAGAACTCAGATTCCACTTCATTAATATTTAGAATTGTAATTTTGTATTGTATTTAATTGGACTAAAATTTAATTAAGTTTCAACTTTTGCCATAGGTTAAATTTAAAGATTTTTTTATTTATTGTTGTTGCTGATATTAGTTTATTCATTTATTTTGCAATTTTTAATTTTATATTTACTCTTATAGATAACAAATCGAAACAACAGAAATTTGAAACTCTTAGTGGTATATTGAAAGCTAAACGCCTAAATGACAACAAGATACAAATTGATTTGCCTGCCTATAATTTTACATCAGTAAGTTACTCTTTCTAAACTTATGAGTTTACTGAGTAACTTTCATTTATTTTTATATCATAGGTATCTACTTTTCCCTCTATTTTTAGAGGATCTTCTTGATTTTAAGTGATATTTTAGTGTATCATGCGTGTCTTTCTGTTTTATCATAATTGTGAAAGAATCTAAAAAATTTTTTTTAAAGGGAAGAACATATATAATAAATATTTTGTGTAAATTCAAGTTTCTAAATCTTATACAGGGTGCGTAACATTTTAAAAAAGTACTTAAAGGTGCATATTTTTAATTTATGTTTTTTAAAAGCCCTTAAAGATGCTTTTTTTTATACAGGGTCTGTTAAAAATACTTAATTTTTTATCTTTTAAAAAGAGATTTTTTCTCTGCCATGTTGATTGTCATTCTAAATTTCAAAAAATGCATGATTTTCAAAATTTTCTCTGCAATATACATCAGAAACTATTAACTTATCATGACTATGCAAAGGTTTTGAATTTTATTGATTTTATATCTATAAATAAAGAACTTTAACCAATGGAAAAAAAATTATTTTTATTAGTGCACAGATCCTAATTCTGATTTTCTTTTTTTGGAAAGGGATTGAAAATATTTTTTGAGTGCTTAAAAAGAACTGAAAAGGTGCTTATTTTTTGTTGAAAAATATTTCTACGCACCCTGTTATAGATTTTGTGCAGAAGAACAAAATATAAGTTGAACACCCAAAGCAGCTATAGCTGATTCTCTTACAGTTTTTTATTATAAAGAATCTCTTTTTATTTTGTAATATTGACAGTTATGAATTGTTGTTTTGTCTGCAAATTTATTTTACTCAAACAGACTAAATTTTTTGAAATAAAAACTATGTTTCAGACACTGAAATAATGTTGATTTAAATGCTAAGTTTTACTGGCATTTTCCATAAGACTTATAAAATCTTTGTCTTAAAGGAAAAGTTCAAATTATTTATCTAAAAATGAAGTCTTTTTCTTAAGGTTAAATATTTGAAAAAATGGGACAAGTAANAAAAATCGGAAATTGTGTTTTTTACACTATGTTAAGTTGTAAGAATCAATCCTTAGAGCCAGGCATGTGATTCTTCTGCTAATTCATGAAATTCTGTGAATTAATAATTTATATTCTCACAAAGAAATTTTTAGTTCTTCTAATCTAAACTTTACATTTAGTTTACGCATACCTGCCAACCCTCCTGTATTTTACGGCTATTCCTGTTTAATTAATTGTCCTGTTAAATTAAAAAACAAAATTTTGGCTATAAAATTTGCTCTAAGGGCGAAAATACTTTTCTTATTCCTCAACAGATGGTGCTATTGCCATTACTGCAGTATGTTGAGTGTTTATAGTTTAAGTAATTATAAGTAATGGTTTTAAAAAAAATCTTTAGATTAAGATTTATATGCAAATTTTTTACCTCCACTAAGTGTAAATGCTTATATTATTTCCAATTTTGAATTTCTCTTTACGACTTGCATGATGTATCAAAACTTTACTCATAGACTAAAAAATGTCACTAGTAAAATCTCTGTTAATTTATTTTTCTAATTTTGACAGGTATGTTTTAAATAAAGACGAGACACTTATTCTGTCTTTACCAGCACCCTTTTTTCAGGTTATCCGCGCACCTGGAAAGTCATGAAAAATCATGGAAAGTCATGAATTTCAGTATTAAACAAAATTTGTCATGATTTTAACTATTTTTTTAAAAAAAATCATGGAAAGTCATGGATTTAAATTGCCGAAAAATCTAATTTTTAAAATGGAATCCCCCCCCCCAATTTTATGGGGCTTCGAATATCTGAATTCCTAACAAAATCATCACTCACAGTCACATTTTATTATAATATAAAATGAATTTATCGTGTTCTTTAAAAATTTTGGTGTTCTTTCAATTTATTAAAGAAGATACATAATTTCTAGAGCGAATTAACTTTTAAACTTCTGTGATTTAAGAATTTTTATTTTTAATTATTTTATTAATTTAAAATTCTAGCTGAAGTAAACCAGTCATTGGCAATCTTTTTTGTTCCGAAATGAAAACAAAAAAATCAGGAGTATTTCTTTCCTTTCCATTGAACAAGAAAAGTATCTTTTGAATAAAATTCTGCAGAAAAAAAAAGGAAAAAAATTTATTTGCTTTTGCATTTTTTCCAGCTATTTTATTGTTTCTATTGTTCTCTTTCTTTACTCTATTTTTTAAATTTAAGATCTATAAATATGAAGATGCATAGCAGATCAGTTATGGTTATACTTATCATTTCAATGAATGTTATTATAATGCTTTTTTAAATTTATTGTTGTGTTTTTGTCGGAGAAAATAGCAACTTCGTTAAGTCATGAAAAGTTCTTGGAATTAGTCATGAAAATTATGAAAAGTCATGAATTTGAAAATCTAAAATGTAGCAGATGTCTTTTGTTCTTCTTTCCTCTTTTGTTCTCATTCACACCTGATAATGACTTTTTAACTCAGAATTGTTCGAGAAAAACGCCACTCTGGATTAACTTCAACAACACATGAGTGAAACAAAAAAATTCCTTTATAACTTAGTCTCAAATTAAAGCATAAAATTCATAAAGATATTCTAAAAAGTAATTCCTAAATACCAAACATTTAAAACTTTTTTTTCTCGTTATTTTTGAAACTTGTATTTTTTATGAGTGGTAATTTTGCTGCGAATTCCGGTTTGTGACAGAAGAATTATTTATTCAGTGGGATTTATTTGCCTACAATCAGATTAAACAAATTTTTAGTATGATCACGCAACATGGAAATTTCCAATTGACATTCAATGTGTCATAAGGAATCTGTGTTTCAATCTTTTTTTTTCTTTTGCAATTAATGAAATTGATTTTCTCATAGTTTTTAAATTTCTGATATTATTACTACATAATTAATTTGAAACGTGAATTTGAGTAATCACTTTTTGATGCGCTTGATTTGTGTGAATACCATCATAAGTATTGTTATACTATAACAATCATGTGGTATTTCAACTATTAATGCTTCAAAGTTTCTCAATGTTTTTTTTAAATCCCTTTATTGTTGTTATGCATTGTTACAATATGCATAATTCTATTGGTGCATTTATTAGCCACTTTTTAGCATGACAAAACAATTGTTTTTGTAATGACTTTTTCATAGTTATTGCTACTGATATTCATGTGTTTTTTTTAAAATTCATATTATTAATTTTGTGAACAATATTATTTAGAAACGAGGAATTTGATTCACTCATTTGATTTTCACATGCTTTTATTAAAATTACGGCATTATTGTGATATGAGAAATTGAAATCACACATTTAAGTATTTTCTATCGATAATTATATAATTTTTCACCCAATTATTCGACAGTTATCACTACTTGTCATTGTATATTTTTTAAAATTTTGATATTTTTAATACGTTATTAAACACATTAAAAGTATCGAGAAAACTTCTGAATCTCGAAACATAAATTGAATTAACTCCTTTTTGTCGTTTCCGATTCATTGTAAATACACTTGGGTTAATTGTTGCTCCTTTTTCAGTTATTCTTATATAATTTATTTAAAAAAAGAGTTAATTTTAGTTTTAAAATGGAACATAAAATTGCACATTATTATGTCAACATGTATGTATTTCAAAATATTTTCTTGAAATGGCTTTGACATTTTTTAATGTCATAAATTTTTATTATTGTTTATTTTAGGTGAAAGGGAAGTTTGATAAATTAGTTAAGGTAATTCAAACATTTATTTAATTTGCTCTTAGTTGTCTAAGAATTGTATTGTATTATATTAATTTTATTTTATTTACAGGTATCTACTTTTTCCTCTATTTTTAGAGGATCTTTTTGATTTTAAGCGATATTTTAGTGTATCATGCGTGTCTTTCTGTTTTATCATAATTGTGAAAGAATCTAAAAAATTTTTTTTAAAGGGAAGAACATATATAATAAATATTTTGTGTATATATGTTTTTTAAAAGCCCTTAAAGATGCTTTTTTTTTAATTTAGGGTTTGTTAAGGATGCTTAATTTTTTATCGTTTAAAAAGAGATTTTTTCTCTGCCATGTTGATTGTCATTCTAAATTTCAAAAAATGCATGATTTTCACAATTTTCTTTGCATTATATATCAGAAACTATTAACTTATCATGATTATGCAAAGTTTTTGAATTTTATTGATTTTATATCGATACATATTAATATTATTTCATTTTCTGTTCATTACCAGTTGAAGATGTTGTTTTATCGGAATCTAAAAAACTATTGATTAGACTGTGTAATGAAGTTCATAGGTATTGTTTTAATACCACTCCATTATGCTATTAATTATATTTATTTCAAGGTATTGCCTTTATTACTGTTACTTTATGCATTGGTTTTGTAAACAGTTTATGTTACTTGTTTTACATTTCATGAGGCATGTGATTTAAGTCGTTAAGTTGTTGGCTTCCGCGAATCAATAATTTATATTCTGACAGAAATTCATCGAAATTCTGCTAATCTAAAATTTAAATTTTGTTACTTAAAATCTCGTTAACGAGGCATTTATTCCGCTCGCACCTGCACTTTCTTTTTTTTCTTCCTAAGTTCTCATTAACGTGCAATAATGACTTTTTTTTAAACAGGTTTGTTAGAAAAAATGTAAACCAAGAAAAAAATTCAGTAATAAGAATGATGGATATGTTTATCAATTATATGTAGAATTATTGATTTAAAAGATTATTTACAAGAAAATTTCTATTTTTCTTGCTCATTTTCTTTAAATTTATATTCTAATGAGTTGCAATTTTGTTGCAAATTCCGATTTTTAACTGAAGAACTGTTTAATCAATGTGATATATTTGCTCCAATTTTTATGTCGCTACAATTAGATTGAATTAATTTTTATTAAGATATTATTATAAACAGAATACAAGGAAATCAATACGAAAATTTCGAATTGAGCCTATTTGTCGTCACTTTACAAAGAGGATTTAAATCTGTTTTATAGTAGTCTGATATCTCTGTGTTTTTTTTTAAATCCTAATATTCTCATAAAATATTATTTAAAATAACTACTAATTCGAATCACAGATTTATGTAAAAGCCTTTTGAGACGCGTGATTTTTACTAAATTCCTACAGCATTTAAATCTTTTTTTTTGTTGCAGTTATTGCTGCTGATTTTTACATGATTTTTCAAAAACCTAATATTATGATACTATCTTAGGATACTTATTTATGATAGTTTTATCATCAATCTCAGTTTTTGCCTTAAATCTCATGGTTTTTAAAATCCTTTTTTCTCCTCTTGCTATGAGGACTCATAAAAATGTGAAAAAGGAGTACAGGGTAACAAAAAAGTATAGGGATCACTTTTGTGGTTATTTACCACTAAAGTTTTAAAACCTTTTTACACGTATAGCATACTGATCTAAAGCTCTGCTATTAGACTTTCAATTGCAATACTATTTCATAAAATCACAAAAATACCTTTGAAGAAATTTGACAAAAAACTAATTGGTCAAGTACAAGTATTTTTAGAACTTCGATGGAGCCACAGGATTATACAAACCCATTTTAAAAAGAAAGGTATTGTGATTTCACTCAGTCATATCAGTCGCATCCAGAATTCAAAACTCGGATCGATGCAAAATAATGCAAAACCAAAAAGAAGTGGACGGCCAAGCAAATTGAAGAAATCAGATTTGCAGAAGCTTGATAAGATGACATCAAAACCGGACCCACCAACACAGGCAAGCAAGGCTAAAGCTCTTAATGTGAGTCAGCAAGTTGTAAGCTATCAACTAAAAAAAAGTTGAAGAGAAAATGACATAAAAAACCTAAATGTCATCATTTAAGTGAGAGATCGGTGCAGATTAGGAGACAACGTTCATGGCCCCTCTACAAGCTTCTCCGTAAGGACAGATGGCGAAAGTTCATTATAACTGATGAAGCTAGGATTTATCTATATGATACCAATGCTAAATCTAAAGTTTAATATCTTAGCCGTGGACAGAATAGGCGAGAGTTGACACCATCAACCCCGGAGCCTCATCCCAAAGGCGTAATGGTTTGGATGGGCATATCCGCCCATTGTGTGACCAAACCTCGGTTTGTGAAACCTGGCGGCAAAATAAATTCTGAGGATTACATACAGAAGATATTAAAGTCCTTTCTTAAGGATTATTACTGCATATTATACCCTAATGGTGATACTGTGTTCCATCAGGACTCTGCCCCATCGCATGCATCTAAGGTCACCCAGAAATTCCAAACAGATCAGCAAGGGCAATTCCTGAGACCAGAACAATGGATTCCAATACTGCACGATGCTACTATTTCCTATGGGGACATCTCAAAAACAAACTGAATGAGCGAAGAATTTCTGCATTGAGAGGCCTTTAAAAAACTATTAGAGAAGAGGTAAAGAAAATCCCACAGGAAATCATTTTGCGGGCTTTAAAATCATGGCCTAAACGTTGTAGACAAATCTATTACGCCGGAGATCGACACATTGGAATTTATGTAATAAATTTTGGAAATAAAAACATTCAGAAATTATCCCTATATTTTTTTGTCACCTGTAATTGTGTAATGTTTTCATTATATATAGTCTTTTCTGTGTTGGTAAGAAAAAATATATTATATAAAAAAATTGTCTATCTCTTTTCAAGTTTTGTAAATGTTACTTTTGTGTAAAAAAATTACCATCTTTTAAATATCTTCTATGTTCAGTGAACACAAAAGAAAAATATATGACCCTAAATAACTTTTGTGCTAATGATCGAATTTTCACACTCAAAGTGTCAATCTAAATGGTTTCTGGGGTGACCTCAAATACGCTAATTAGAGCTAACTATTAATTAAGTTACAAAATCAAACACAAAAAGTTACTTTCTCTGAATAAACATATATTTTTTTACTTGTTTGGATTCTTAACCTTCAAAATATAGGGAGTAGCCGCACTCTGGGAAATATGGTCTTCTTAGTTTGGTCCAGACAACAATACAACATTCGGACCCCTTAATGTTAATTTCACTTTTTGCGGTTTTAATTATATTTTTAAAAATAAAGCAATTTTTAAAAAATCATGCCCACTCACAAAACCTGTTTACCCAAACATAATTTCAAATAAATCCCTCAATGTATGAATTATGACTGATTTATGATGGCCCAACATAAGAATAGCACCTTGCGCTGATGGTTTGCTTATGTTGAACCATCACGAATTTCCATCATAGTATCTTAGAAATGAAATGTTGGAACGATCATAAACAATGACCATCCCAATGTAGAAATATAGACTGATTTATGATGGCTCAACATAAGAATAGCACCTTGCGCTGATGGTTTGTTTATGTTGAACCATCACGAATTTCCATCATAGTATCTTAGAAATGAAATGTTGGAACGATCATAAGCAATGACCATCCCAATGTAGAAATATAGACTGATTTACGATGGCCCAACATAAAAAAAAACCTAATTGTTCTGATGGTATATTCCTGAGAACCAACAAGAATTCCCTTTAAACCATCATGGAAGTGTATAGTAAGAACCATCACGGATCATCATGGATTGTTGGTCCGTGCGATTCAAACTTCTCTTGATGGTTGATGATCACAGTATTAAAGTAGCATTTTCCATCATGGAATTTTGGATTCGTATTTCAAAAACCATGAACACATAATGGAAGAAAGTTGGATGATGTTGGACCATCATGAAATGCACTGAAACCAACATAAACCATCAATTTCTTTTTGATGAATGCATCAAGAATTTTGACTTGGGATGGCTTCAAAATTAAAACGCCCAACATGCACATAAAAGTTTCATTTATTTCCCACCTTTGAGTGGCTGATAGAGCTTGTGAACATTTCATTAGAAATACAACGTGACTCATTTCAAATTTACGAAAATCACCAGGATGTTGAATAGAGCGGATAAATGAGAATCGAAGGTGAAAAAAAAATGGCTAAGACGTGAAGATTATGTCACAAAGTGTCAAAATGTGCTCATTTTAATAAAATTCATGAGAAGAAAAGTTTCAATGTGAGATCACATTACATGTAATTACCATCATTTTTTATGTGTTTTTACTTGAAAAGTCTAACATGCAAATGAGAGACTTCTTGTGATCATGGCAAGAAAAATGTAGAGATATATTTGAAACAAAAGTGAAATTCTTTTTTATCTTTTCAAAAAAAAAAAATAGAGATCAAATTATGAAAGTAAAAATTTTGATATCAATATTTTTAAAAAGTAGTTCGATTTAAATAATTTTCATAGAGTCTTCTAATGTTCTGAAAATTGAGAAAAACATCGTGAAAATAATTGTTTCGATATTCTCTGTAAGTGTTTATGATTCTGTTTACAATTTCTCTCACCACTGAATTTAATTTTTCAGGCAAGAGTTTGAATCATTCAAAAATAATACGAAAGGAATTATTATCTGCACCTTCTGAGGTAGTTGAGGCCTGATAGTGACTTTGAAGGCAAGTGACAAATTGGATTGCAAAAATGAAGCTGGAAATCAGTATGATTTTATATCCCGTTACTTTGCACCCTGGTTGGGGGTAGCTGAGGACCCAGTTACTGGTATTTACCTTATCTTAATTATTTTGATGTTAAATTTACAATTATGCAAAATGAAATAAGAAGTTAAGATTTTGAAATTTTTTCTTTTTTGATGGTATACAGGGTGTCTCAGTTAAGCGTTTCAGAACTTCTAAGAGGGGTAGGGGGCATCCTGACGACTCGAAATCATATAGCAATGTGGGGTCGGAAATGCTTTCCTGAAGCGGTGACGTACACAGNTATTAGTAACCTAGTATTTCTTTTATTACTGTATAATGCAATCCTAATAACGACTAATTCATTGTGCAATTTATATAAATGTTTGTTATAAATAGGAGAAATTATATTTTTATTTATTTAAAAGCGGCGGGTTAGTTTCAACGGAGGACGGGTGCATTGTTGGACAAGCCGTCCTCGGGGACGGGTAAAATTTCTGAGTTTTTTCGAGCCCTGAACCCAATCCAGTAGACAAGTCCTGGATCAAATATTGGGAGAATTCGCCTTTGTGGAGGACTTTTTGATGGAACTAACCCGCATTTGCGTTGCATGGAGAGGAAAACTACAAAAACCTCTCAAGCCTGATGGCAAAGGGACTCCAACCCATGATCTGTCTACAACTGAGGATATTTTTTTCATCAGCATTTTGGTCGGTGCAAGAAGGATGAAGAATTTGTACGGACCAGTCATTGCTGCGATTCGAACATCGTTCACCTCATTGGAAAGCAAATACTTTATCATCAAGCTTGCTATCATGGATTGCTAAAAATTTATTGAGATATATCTTTTTGTAAAATATGAAATCATACTTCTTTTCAGCATCTTTGATATGTTTTATTATTAAAGAATTTACAACATCATGTAAATGTGCCAGAAAAATAATATTATTTCAGAAGCAAATAACAATTAGTTTTCTTTTAAAAAAGATGCATGATTTTTGTTTTGTAAAAAACCTTTTTTTTAACCCTAAAGTTTATCTTCTCTTCGAATAATAATCATTTTTACTTTTATTTACTTTATAATTGAAAAATCTGTTGTTCTAGAGTTGGCTGATAGATACTTTATTGTAATCATGGTTAGAAATTGAAAAAATTTAGTCACTGGTAAACAAGTAACTGAAATATATTATAATTCATACACATTTTCAATATTCTTTTTGATGGTCTCTATTTGAATATTTATTTTAAGTTAATAGTGTAAATGTTAAATAAAATATTATAAATACAGAGAATATAAAAGCATAGAATATGGATAATAGATTATGGACAAGGATAATTATATAATATGGAATCATCAAATGGAACTTTATTTCCAATATTGAAGAAATATGTTATTTTGGGACCAAAAATTATATAATCAAAACAGTTTACCATTCGTTAACATCAATTACTGGTCAAAGAATCCATGGATTATTTATTTTAATATGGTCTGATTCAAATTTTAACGGTCTCAGACCATCATTAGTTTTGAGCCCTGGTTGTGATTTTTTTCAATTAAGATGTGTTTCTCTTAATCTTAAATTGTTGACAATAACTTTGAATTTTAAGGATTTGTACCTTTTTATCTTATATAATTGTAAACTATGTTTCTTATATGTTAATTAGTTAATTAACAGTTTAGATTAATTTAAATTCTATGGTGATAATTTTTTTTTGTTAAAAATAAATAAAAATTTTAATAAAATTTTCATGTTCTAGTCAAATGTTTTGGCCTTTTATTAAAATTAAATTACTTTTCAGGTTCTGCTCATTCAGTGCTTGCTCCATATTGATCTAAAACTCTACAACAGAATTCGTTTTATGGTATGTAAAATCTATATGGGTAGAATTTTTTGTTCTTTAGTCTAATTATTGGGGTGCACAACCTACGGCCCGCTGACTGTTTATGTGCGGCCCGCGGGAGCTTCTGAGCGCAATTTTTTTTTATTTATTTGGTTTTTGTTTCAGCAATATGAATTTTCTTTCATTAAAATATATAATTCAAATTTATATTACTCTATACTTTTTGATCCTTCATTCTTTAAGCTTCTTTTTGGTTAGAATTTACATCCCCCCCCATAACAATATGTATGCATATATTTTTGGTTAATTAATTATTATGAAAAATAGGAAAAGTTTTTTTAAGAAAAGTATTATTTTTTAAGTTTTAAATAAATTCAAATAGTTAAAAGTATTTGATGAGCGAAATACTTAATAGAGCTAAATACTGCAAAAAGCTAAGTTATTTTTATCTCTTTCTTTTTTTATTTAACTGAATAATAATTAACGAAAAATTTCCTTTATTTGTCTGAAATATTTAGGGGTGCTTTGAAAGATATCTAATTTTTTGTAGGGCACATATACCCAATGTGTGTACTCTGCCAATGACACCCATGAATTCTAGTTTTATTTGAAACTTCTGAAAATGAAATAAATATCAAAATTTGCCAAGCAACGAACGAAATCTTTCCACGGTGGGCATTATTATCATTCCCGGTGTTCGTAACTAAATGTAGAATTCGTTTTATAATTAATATTTATTCTACTGAAAAAGTAATCAAGATAAATTATAATACTGCCGTGCTACAGAAAAATCAATGTAAGCTGCAAAAAATTCAAAATTGAGATATTTATAGAGGTGATTTTCTTATTTTTTATTTCTACATATATAAAAATAATCTGCACATCTCAATAATAATTTTTTTTTTAGTTTTCTGAGATTATATTTTAGCATTGGTAGTACTTGTTTCAAAACTACAGCTGTCCCGTAAATCAGATAAGTCATGATTTTGATAAAGATACGGAAAAGTCCTGAATTTTTAAGCAAAGTCACAACATTATACTTAGCTGTCAACAGTACTGGATTTACCAGCAAGCTACGGAATTTCATTAGTCTCTCCTGGTCTGGTTAAATAAAAATTCTCCTGGTTTTTGTACATTTTAGACGATTCCCTAAAATTTATTACTTTTTCTAAAAAAATTAAATCTTTAAATAGTATTTTTGCACAATTTATTGCTTGCTCGAATATTTAAATAAATATTACTAATACATAATGTAGTCCCGCAGTGGACTGATCGTTAAGACACGGCTCCCAGCAGAACACCGAAGTCAAGCATCACTGGCTACGGTCAGTGTGCGGGTGGGTGACCACTTGGATCAGTCTGCGTAGGGACCGAGGGTGTGCGGTATTGGTCCTCGTTAAACTGTGCTACCGTAAAGTGCTCGACTTTGCGCGCAGGTCGTCGGGCTACCGAAGCGGGGGTGCCATCCCCTCCGCAGAGGATCAAAATTGTGATGGCATATCTTCGGATCATCCTCCGGGATGTTTCCGAGACCGTCGCCAATAGCCCATTGTGCAGCTCTAGTGCGACGTAAATTAACAACAACAACAACAATACATAATGTAATTACATGACATATTTATATCTTTGCATGGCATATTTTTATTATGAAAAAGTCTTTTTTTTTTCTTGTATAATTTTAAACTGTTACATAATAATATAAATTTCGTTTTGAACTTACTTGAATTTTTACTGCCAAATTATCCTTCAGCGGAATATCAATTTGCATAAAAAATAACTTTATTTGAAATAATATTCAACGCAGTATTATTCCATGTGTCTACTTCAATGTATAATGCTTCAGAAAAGCATGCCACAAACCTTTCACTCAATAAAACATCGTAACATTTGGGGTTGATGATCCATCGAAAAATGTCTACTTTTTTTATATTTTAATAATCACATGAATGTAAAATACTTTCAATACATTTACACGTATTAAATAATTTCTATAAAATTTTTTAAAAAAAATTGTAAGCAAATTTTTGTGTAAAAGATGTCATAAAAATTTGTTTAGATGTCATGAATTTTTTCCCCTGGGATCTGGTACACACCTTGTAGTGTTTGCAACAAGCATTTACATTATTTTTTTAATTTGCGCATCAGAATGTTTTTGTATGGGAAACAGCCGCTTAAAATTTATATACAGTATACTCTCAATATCTCAAAGTTGAAGGGACACTTAAGAATTTTCGAGATAGCGAGTTTCCCCGATAACAAGGTTAGAACTAAATATGTTAAAGTAGAAAAATATATTCTAAGATTGTACTCTAAAAAATAGAGTCATGAAATATACGAATAATTACTATTAAATATGTATATAATGATAGTTGACTATAAGTAAAAATAGAAAATAATTGGTTTGCAATAAACTTAACTATAAATAAACTTAGAAAATAAACTTAGAAATAACTCATAACGCAATAAACTTAGAAAAATTCATTTTTTATTTCGAAAAAAATTTACAATAACAAGGTTTTAGAAGAAGCTCTTCGATGTAAGAATTCAAATTAACATTAGATGGATATATAAAATGTTCAGTTTATTTTTAGTCAGAACTCTCTTTTTAAATTAAATAAAAAGAAAATCTTTTAACTATCTTTGATGAATTAAATGTTTATTTAAAATTATGAGTAAACACGTTACATAATATCTCAAGTTCATTTAATGTCAATCATATTTGGAAAATTTTGCAGTTATTTTGTAGACTATAAAAATCCCTAAAATTCCGTATGTGTAAAATATTTAGTGCAACAATTTTCAGGAAATTTACATTATTCTTTAAAATCTATTGGATTTTTCCCTTATCCATGTTTTCAGCTATGAAAATGCTAAGAAAGAAATTTTTTTTGACGTAACAAAGTTATCAAGAAGATTCACTTAAATATTTTTTTTTCTTTCTACAGCTCGACAGTGTTCTGCTCGGGGTGGTGACCTAAATATGAAGCTTGTTGATGATCAGTGGCAATGCTGTTGTTGTGATTCAAGGGCAAATCAACTTCTAACTTCACTTGTTACATACTTTAATAACTTTGCATAAGTTGAAGAACTTAGTGGAAGAAGTGAGAATTTTGAAAATGAATGCTTAAAGTTATAGGTTTTAATAATATGCTGTGATTAGTTGTAAATAATGAATATTATTTTTCCTCTGCTAAGACATTAAATAATAGTTTTTGCTCTATTTTCCAAAGTTGATGTTCTTAAGTTCACACAAATGGCGCATAGCGTTTTTAAAAAGTGCCTAAAGGTATTTAGATAATTCAGGGTTTGTAAAAATTGCTTAATTTTCTATCTTTTAAATAGATATTTTTTCTCTTACTATGTCGATTGTCATTCTAAATTACAAAAAATGCATGATTTTTTGCAATGCAATTTTCTCTGCAATATTTATCAGAAAATAATTATTTTATCATGATTATGTACAGTTTTTGAATTTTATTGATTTTATGTTTATAAATTGAGAACTTTAAGCGGTTGAATTTTTTATTGCTGCATAGATCCTAATTATGAATATTTTTTTTGGAAAGTAATTAAAAATATTTTTTGAGTGCTTAAAAAGTACTTAAAAGGTGTTTATTTTTTGTTGAAAAATCTGGCTACGCACTCTGATAAACATACTTCCTCTAGATTCTTCATATCAGAGAAATTCCATTTTGTACTCTTAATCTTTAAGTTCATTTTATATTTTATTTATCTTACTGTTATACCTGTGATTTTATAGTAATTTTACTATTACTATAGTAAAATGATTGTAACTATAAAATTACTAATTAGTACTGTTATTAATTTTATACTATTACTCATTAATGCTGTTAGTAATTTTATATTTTATTTATCTTACTGTTATACTATTATTCAGTCTAGTTATTCTAATTGTTTTTGTTTTAAACTATTTTTTATTTAGATGAGTAAACTAGCGTTATTTCTTTATATTTTTTGTCTGATTTCGACTATCAGTAAGTTTTGTCCTAATATTACAAATTTTAGGATATAAAAAAGTTCCTAGATTTGACTTGTTTATCTACAATGTTTATCTATTCGGTTAATTTATTGTTATATTTGTTGATGGATTTGCTGTGGTCATTAATAATTCATTTTGTTTCAGTAATCCAGTCATTGCTTAAGTTTAAAATGTGTAAATTAATGTTAAGTTTTTGTGCTAAATAAGCTCGGAATGCTTTCTGTTTTTATTATTTTAGGAATATTGTAAGTACAAAAAAAAAATTTGTTTTTTAAAAACTATTTAAAAAAAATTATTTTATATACTAAGCCGTTTTATGTATTTAAAACTAAAATTATTTTGTATATTATAAAACTATCTTATATATTTAAAAAAATTGTGTTTATAAAAATGTTGTTTCCTCAAAGTGATCCGTGTTGAAAGCTGTAATTGAATGTGTTAAATAAATAGCAAATTCAATAAACATCTTATTAGACTAGTTTTTTAAAAATTATCTTTTTTTTTGTCGATTATCTAATAATCTTTATTTTTCTACCTTCATAAATAGATAAAGAATGTTAAAAAAATATTATTGCATTTTCCAAATAATATTTAAATAGTACATTGGTAGTGTGTTCACAAATAAAGGTAAAAATTTTATGACTTTAAAAAAATTTCTACATAATTAATATTAATTATTTATTTATACTTTCAGGTTCTGTTAAATATCTTGTTTTAAACCGATCCTATATAAAATGACAAAAGATTTAAAAAATATAATCTAAAATCAAGGTTATTCAACACTTAAGGTTGTTCTCTTTCGAAAGAAATTTCTCCCATCTGTTTCCCCACATGTTTTATGATGTCACATGCTTAATAGGTATTTCATTGCTGTATTTTCTATTGATTGGAACTCCTTTAAAGCTGTTATAAATTATTTAAATTCAATATCATATTATGGTTCTTTTGTTATGATAAGTATGAATAGTATCTGAGTAGACCTTTTAGTTAAAATAACAATTAGTATAATTTAAATTACACATTCATGAAAATCACATTCATGAAATTCATATTCATAAAACAGTGAAATTAAAAAATTTGAAACGAAATCATGTAAAAAACATTAAATTACTTTGCTTAAACTTTTACTTCGTATAAATTTTAGTATAATAATTAAACATTAAGTGTTAAAATAATATTATAATTTAATAGGTTGCATAGCATTTTTTAAAATTACTTAAAGGTACGTATTTTAAAAGCCCTTATAAGTGCTTTTTTCGAAGTGAAATTGTTACGAAGTCTAAAGAAGAGAATCCACGGCTGATCTTAAGGGAGACGACTTGGAAAACGCCTTTTGGAAATGAAATTTGGGACATGGAACATTTTATCTTTATATCGAACTGAAGCATTGCAAATGCTTTTGCAACAATTGGATGAATGCAAGATTGATCTAACTGCAATTCAAGAGATAAGATGGGCTGGAAAGGAAGTGATTAATAAGAGAAACCACACGGTCTTTTTTAGCTGTCACCCTGATCATCACAAGGAAGGAACAGGGTTCATTGTTAGTAAACGTATTAAGAATCTGGTTATGAACTTCATTGCTGTTTCTCCTAGACTCTGTGTGATTAGGATCAGAGGACAGTTTTTCCACTATAGTATAATTTGTGCTCATGCACCCACTGAAGACAGGTCAGATGATGAAAAAGAAACCTTTTATGAAGAACTAGATAAGATTTTTAATGACTGTCCACGGCATGATAGAAAACTAATTATTGGAGATCTTAATGCTAAGGTGGGAAAGGAATCTGAATTTCATTCAGTTATTGGTTGACACAGTCTGCATGATATTACGAATGATAATGGCTTAAAGTTAATTGATTTTGCCGCCTCCCATAATTTGATCATTGGGAGTACTTCTTTCCCCATAAAAATATTCACAAAGCTACTTGGAGAGCACCAGATGAATCATTTGCTAATCAGATAGATCATGTACTTATTGAAGCTAGACATTATTCTAATTTATTAGATGTTCGAACTTACAAAGGTGCCAATGTTGATTCAGATCATTTTTTGGTAATTTCAAAAGTGCGAGAAAGAATATCCGTGGTAAAAAATAAAAAAGGTGCAGTTTTGAAGGAGTTCAACTGTGATAAACTTAACGTAAAGGATATAAAAACGAAATATATCAATGATGTTGAAGCTGCTCTCACTAACATGCACTGGGAGAATGATTCTGTTGAGTCAAAATGGCTACAGTTGAAGGAAAAAATTTGTAATGCTGCTGACAACATTATTGGTAAGAAGGAAAAGAATTCAAATAAAGATTGGTTTGATGATGAGTGTGCTGCAGCATCCAATACTAAAAACATTGCTTATAAGAAAATGATTCAAAAGAATACAAGATTTAATGCTGATGAATATAGACGATTAAGGAGAGAGGAAAAGCGAATCCATAAGAGCAAGAAAAAAGCTTTTGAAGAGGAAAACCTAAGAGATATTGAGTCCCTGAAGACAATAAATGAAAGCCGAGTTTTCTACAGACGAATTAATAGAAGTCGAATGGACTTTAAACAAACATCTAACCTCTGCAAAAGTAAAGATGGTTTGATTCTGACAGACAAACAGGCTGTACTTAGCAGATGGAGTGAACATTTCCAAGAAATGTTCAGTAAACATGATCAATCCTATTGCTCTGGGAGCGTGTTTGAAAATAAGAATAATGAAGATATACCTCCACCTGAACTGGGCGAGGTTGATAGTGCTATAAAAAAGTTAAAAAGCAACTGGGCAGGACAGGATAGCAGCTGAGCTGTTAAAATGTCATGGTCCAGTATTTCTAAAACTAATTTATAATCTTATTACTGATATTTGGAATGCTGAAATTTTACCTTCTGACTGGAACACTGCCATTATTTGCCCAATATATAAAAAAGGTGATACCATGGTTTGTTCTAACTACAGAGGTATAAGTTTGCTATCTACTACCTACAAAATCTTGTCAAACATTTTATTTGAGAGACTTATACAATATATAGACCCTCAAATTGGAAACTGCCAATGTGGTTCTCGCAAGGGAAAATCTACTAAAGATCAAATATTTGCACTTAGACAAATTTTAGAGAAGACTAGGGAATTTGGTATTACCACACATCATCTCTTTATTGATTTCAAAGAAGCTTTTGACAGTATTAATAGAAATCGCTTGTATGAAGCCGTGGTTGAGTTTCAAGTACCACCTAAACTAATTAGACTTGTAGAAGCAAGCATGTCAAACACCGTATGCAGAGTCAAACTTTTGGGATCTTTATCTGAAGAAATTAAAGTAAACAATGGAGTCAGACAGGGAGACTCCTTATCCAGTCTTCTTTTTAATGTTGCTCTAGAGGAAGTTATAAGAGATGCTGAAATCAATATCAGAGGCAACATATTTCCAAAATCTATTCAAATATTGGCGTTTGCGGATGATTTAGACATCATTGCAAGAACTGTTCCGGCATTAAAAGAAGCTTTCCTTTCTTTGGAGCTTGCTGCTAGGGATAAGGGACTAATCATCCATACCCATAAGACCAAATACATGCCTGTACTTGCTAAATTAAATTCTAGTGAATCCTATCTGGAGATTGGTTCCCACAGGTTTCAGACTATTCAGAATTTTACTTACCTTGGTTCAATAGTTACTGCCGACAATAACATAGACAATGAGATTCGGAATTGTCTAATTTGTTCATATAAAGTTTTTTATGGTTTAAAACGTTTTTTCAAATCCTCTCTTTTATCAAAAAATACAAAACTTTTACTCTATAAAACATTAATTAGGCCAATACTTACCTATGGCTCTGAGACCTGGAACCTAACTCAAGCTGGTGAAAATAAAATTGCCATTTTTGAGAGAAAAGTTTTGAAGTCCATGCTTGGTGGGATAAAAGTAAATAATTCCTGGAGAAGACGATATAATACTGAACTGTATAAAATCTACAGAGAGCCAGATATTGTGAAATTCATTAAAATAAATCGAATGAACTGGGCAGCTCACATTTTCAGAAGGAATGATGACTCAAATTTAAAGAAAAT